AATCATGACCCTCTGATCTCTGCCTTCAAACCATTTGATTAGTATTTTATCAAAATTACAGTATTCGAGCTTCCCAATCATAAGTTTATGGTTAACGGAGTCGAAGGCTTTTGACATGTCCAGTAGCACAGGAGTCAGGAGCAGTGATTTTTTGTTGGTCAGCAGCTTCCACTATGTCATTGGTAATTTTCAGCATAGCCGAGATACAGCTGTATCCTCCCGTCTAGCCAGAGTGATTTTTTGGCAACAAATTTATTCTGCTTACATTTGTCTGTTTCAAATTTTTTCGAGTATTTTCGATGCTGCAGGAAGTATACTACATATAATAGGTCTTAGTTCGCCCAAAGTTGGATTTCCAATTTTTGGTATAGGTACTACACAGGGACGTAGCAACAGGGCGTGCAAGTCGTGCCGCGCACAAGGGCCCGGGGCCCCAAGGGGCCCAGCGTGTCCTGAGTCCTGCCGCTTTTTGGACACAACATACAAGAAAATCAAAAAAAAAATCATATTACGCTCGCCCAAGCAACGAAACAGAAAACTGTAATATCGATCTCTACAGATTTCTTTTCAGTCAGCCCTCTGACTCCTAGTACTCGTGTCAATATTGACAATCTCAGTCATGTAGGTCGTGTATTAGCTCGATTAGCTCTCAAAAATGTTTATTTTACGGACCCATTTCAGTCCGTAAAATGCTTCATTTTCGGCCTAGTCCCTAAAAGTCGTTTTAGCAATCAGAAACAAATTCTACCTGGCGCTCTTGCCACAACAATAGGTTTGTTTGTTTGTGTCGCACTAACTTGAACTAAGCTGGAATATTTCAGATTATGGCAGATACATCCACATGAAACGATCACAAACGAACGCCTCGAAGCAGGAAGTGCTGCCCCGAACAACACAAAAAACAAACCTAATGCCAATGCGTAATCAGTTTAAAATTTTTAATGCCACTTTTCGGGCGTATTACGTACACGATTTTTTCGTCCAGAAAGAACATACTTTCCAGGCTAGGCCAGAAAGTAATCACTTCTTGGCCTAAGTAGTCACTTCTCGAACAATGAATTTGAACCTTCTGATGCCCATGGTAAAGAGGGGGCCGCTCTGCTCTAGTCTTGCACCAGGGCCCGGTTTTGACTTGCTACGTCCCTGATACTACAAGAGCTGATTTCCATAAAATGGCTACTTTTCCTTCTAGAAGAGATGTATGTATTGACTATATTAAGAAGTGGATCGAGGCATGCCGGCCTAAACAATTTAAGCATAACCGATGTAAGACCATCAATTCCCTCTGCATTTGTTTTAATGGAGAGTAGCGCTTTCTGTATATCCTCCCTATTTGCCAGTGTAAATGAAAATTGCGCTTCTGAGCCTCGGTTGTTTTGAAACACTTGTATAGTTTCTTGGCTGACTGGCAGTGAGGGAATGGTATTCAGGAAAGCATCATTGATTTCATTTAGGTCATTCATGTCTGGGAGTAGTGTTTTTGATGGTTTACGGTGGATGTTCAATGATTTCACAGTTTTCTAGGTTTCAGCGGTACCAATGCACTTTTGCACCTCATGTGTGTGAAATGCAAGCTCACAGTAGTATTGTCTATGTTCTGGTCCTCCAGTACTTGGACATTTCAAGAAAGCCCTACGTTTTAGCTCATATTACAACGAATGTTATACGTTATCCATGCAACAGGTCGTTTTTTCATAGTTCTCGTGATTTTGAAAGTACTTACCCAGTGCTGATGAAAGTACTACCAAAGGTAGTAAAAACGTTAACTTGAACATTTTCTTTTTTTGTAATGAACTTATTGATTGAGCAAGCTAACACCAACTGATATCCTTTCCGGGCACAAAATGGCTTTTTATATGAAAAAAAAAATTGGTTAACTGAACTTATTATTTATAAAATAAATTCACCAGTGGAATTTCGACAATGTAGGTGAAAAATTAAGATTGTTGACTGGGTACAATGCAAATTTGGAAACGAATTAACTATCGGCTTGCTTTTGATGATGTTATCTAGAATACAAAGGTTAATATTTCCAAAATTTCCAGAGATTACTCTCAGGTGAATAGTTTTTTTTTTTTTAGAACCAGGCAATTTAATTTTACTTAGTACTAAATAAAAATAGTATTTTCATTGAACCTATCATAAAAAAAACTCAACAATGGAAATTATTCAAATAAAATATTCAAACTGAAGAAAGAGTAAATTTTTTCACGGTGATGCGGTTTTGTGAATTATTGTCTTCTTTACAAAATCTTAATTGCTTTAATTAGTAGTACATATTACATGTTTCAATATTGACAACGGTTATCTGCACATGGCTAGAAGTGGTGACCCCAAGGTTCATTTCGTGGTTCAGGTATTCAGGACAGTTATGGAAACAAAGGTAGGGGCAGATTTACTAATTTTGGTAATGACGATAGTGAAGAAGACTTAGACCAGAATTTTACTGAGCAAAACATTTGTTTTTCGGGTGAATCTAATAATGAGAACATTGATCTTTCTAAAAGTAATTTAAATTTTTATATTGATTCTTGTTGTACTTACCACATGCTAAATAAGAAAACATATTTTTGTGATTTGGTAATGTTAGAAGAACCAATAAAAATTACTATAGCTAAAAATGAAAGTTTTCTATTGGCCATGGGTGTTGGTAACATAAAGGCTATTAGTAAAGTGCGAGAGAAAAGAAGGTAAGTACAATTTACCTAAAAAACAAAACAAAATAGGTACAGGAAAGAGAGAAAATTTGTATGAAATATCATTTGAGTTATGCAAGATAGAATGCTTGAATATTGAAAGTTTGAATAACGATTTTGTGATGTGGCCTAGGCGTTATGGGCACATAGGTTTTTCACGTTTAAAGGAGATAATTAAAAGAAACATGGTTACAGGTATAGGTGAGAATGTTAAAATACAAACAGTCGAATTTTTTGAGCCTTGTGTGAGTGGTAACATGACTACGTTTCCTTTTGGTTCGAGGATAAGAAGTCAAAGAATTTTGGAAATTATACATACGGATGTTTGTGGTTCAATAACTCCCATTACGTATCAATATTTTGTAACTTTTATCGACGATTTTTCGAATTTCTGTTGTGTGTATCTGATTGAAGCAAAAAATGAAGTTTTTGATAAATTTGAAGAGTATGTGAGTATGGTAGGGTCCAAATTTAATAATAGAATTTCAAAACTAAGGTGTGATAATGCGGGTGAATATGTGTCTAGGAGTTTTAAAGATTTTTGTAAGGAACGAGGTATCATTTTGGATTACACAGTACCATATACCCCAAAGCGGAATGGAAAAGCAGAAAGGAAAAACAGAAGCTTGGGGTGAATCGGTGAGAACTATAAATTATATATTGAATAGAGGCACATCAGTTTCTTCCAATGGAATGACACCAGCAGAAATATAGTATGGACAAAAACCAAACGTAAGTAATTTCAAAATTTTCGGTTGCTTACCGTATAGCCATATTTTAAAAGAATGATGTGACAAATTTGATTCTAAAGTTGTAAAATGTGTAATCAAAAATAATGTTGTTGGTATGGCTGATGATGATCTTAATGATAATAAAAATATAGAGAATATAGATTTTGATATCCTTGATGATAATATTTCTAAGAATTTAACTACTTCTAAAAATAAGAGTGAAATTGAAGAGAGGAATGAGTTTCGAGACAGAATTTGTAGAGAAAATTAGCGTACTGTTAAAGTGTCATCCAAGTTTGATGAATATGAACTACCTATACATGGCTTTTAATGCTTATAACTTTGTTGAAAATGTACCAAATAATTTTTCTGATTTAGAGAATAAACTAGATAGGGGAAAGTGGTTGAAAGCGGTAGAAAAGGAGTTGGATTCGATAGAAAAGAATGAAACTTGGATGACAATTAAGAAACCAGAAAATGTGTGTATACCTACTTGATACTAAATGGGTATTAACTTATAAAAGTTTGGAGAAAAATGAATGTGACAAATTTAAAGCTAGGTTAGTTGTAAGAGGATTTGAACAAAAATGGATGATGATTTATACTCACCTGTTGCGAAAATGACAACTATTAGAATGTTACTTATGATTAGAAATCAATATACGTTCCACTTCTTACAATTAGACGTAAAGACCGCATTTTTAAACGGAATTTTAGAAGAAGATATTTATATATTTCCATCACAAGGAACCCTATGTTAAACGAAACAAATTTTCTAATAAATACCTACAGAATTCTTGAGAAGTCATATTAAAAATGAGCAAAAGGTGAGAGAGAATGGTTCTCAAGATCTGCATATCTGGTGGCTGGTTGGAATCTGACTTAAATTTTTGGGCTGACCAACCCAGGAAGCATCAAAGTGTTGGATAATTTATGCTTTGTGGAGACATCTTTCCATTGAATAGAATAAATTTGAGTCCTTGTAGCCTATGAACCACTTTAAAATAAATGAAAAAATAATATTATTCAGATATCAATTTGGAAATGCACTCAAAAGAGTATTTTCTTACTAATAAAATTCTTGTGTAGTTTTTGCTTCCATAAAGCTTCGTCAATCAATATCAATTTTCTTGAATCATCACGAATCAGATTTGAACTAGCTGGAGTTAGTTGAGTAGGTAATTTAGCAAAATAGTTATCCAAGCCACCACTTGAACCACCCAGTAAATCGTTTTTGATATTCGATTGATGATTGGACGATCAATGCTGTCTCATTATGATGTGATTAGGGGTTCTCCTGAACCAACTTGACTTGGATGAACTGAAATAGAAGATGCTTGAAGTTTCATTTGTGCTCCTAGGATAAATATTCAACAAATCATTCAATTCCAGGCTAACACTACAAAATAAATGCGGAAATTACTTTTTTATCAAATGCACTGGGAAAATGTATTCGTAAGGTAAGGACTAGAGTCCAGGTTTTATTACAGCGGTCCGGCTATATTCCTTGTTTTATGGTGCACACGTAAGAATAAATTAATATTTGAGCATGAACCGCAGAAATTGACTAAACTTCATTGAAGTAAAAATACATTTTATTCCAACATTTACAAAGGCAAAAGTTCTTATGAACATTGACAACATGATCGAGTTTGACAAATAAATCCAAATTTAGTCTCGCAAGGAATATCGTTCCAATAATACGAATTTTGTGTGTCTTTGAAAATATGTAGGCAGCCTTCTTTTCCTCCAGCATTATCCGGTTGATTGAGGGCGTATTTACTGTAAATCACCGGCCTTCCTGAGTTGAAGAATACAAAATCGTGGGCTGCGTTGCACGCTCCCATTCTTCCTCCCGATATCCAAAATCCGCTAGTGACTCCAGCTAAAAAAAAAATATATCGTAATATGGTGAATAAATCTGCGTTAACAGCGCTGTTTTCAAAGATACATAAATTCAACAAATCAAATAAAAGTTGAAAGTAGAGCAGGATTGAAAAAGTTGAAGCAGGAATAGGTTTATTTTTTCAATTTTGAAGAGAGCAATTTGATCAGGTGATGACAAACCAATATCGAAGAGCAGGCAGGTACCAGCTATCAACAAAATGCTATACTTAGGGTATAGAAAATATCCAGGAGTCAGCAACTGACGAGTAAAAATTCCGAAAAATCATGCAACAAAATGCAGAAAATAAACACAATTTCACTTAGACCCACTATACGTTGTATCACTTGGTAAACAGATGGTCATTCTTCTTGTTCCCGTGACGTCAGTCCATAGAAAGAAGAACCGCACAGGCATGAGGCTAGACCTGGCTGGACAAAAAAGTATCCCAGAAGAGAATCATTTTACAGTCATACATATGTGAATAATTGGAATGATGAAGAAGATAACGCATATACCGAAGAACATAGAGGACATTATTCCGGAATACATATGGCTCTAAGCTAAGGATTCTGAAAGGCATAGTACTGGTGGTAGTAGGAAGATGATGAGATGATGATAAATGGTTAGATCTGATTTGAGAGGGAGACAGTAATACGAATTTGGCTTGATACGGAGAAGCTGACGCCGCTGCCGATGACAAATATTCAGAAATTCCATTATATTACGTAAATAAACAAGCATTTACGCAATTCTGGATATTTCTCGACTGAATTTTGAACACAAAGCGCGTTCATTGGCCATTTTTAAGACCTCGAATGATTTGAAGAATGGACTCTAAAGTAAAAGTTAATGAAATAATGGGTAGGCATTTTTCAATATACATCTAGAAAAGTTTCGCTAGAATGGCCAAAAATAAGGAGGACTGTGATTTCATAAGTAGACTTGAATCAATCACCTCTGTAAAATAAACCCAAGATTTAAAAAAAATTGGAATTTGAGACATTGAGCGGAAAAATAAGAAGTAGCTGAAGAAGAGGGTAAGAGACAAAGGCTTGTATTGAAGTAGAACATTATATTATATTATTTACCTGGTATGGGATATCCAGCTAATAATTTTTCAACTTCGGCTTCTTCTTCCGCTGAGCTAATGCTGGCCAGCTCCATTCCGCCTTGTTGGCATAAAATCAGAGCTTGATACCATGTGACTTTTTGCGTAGCGACTTCGAATACTTTCCCTGCTGGGCCTTCATCTGGAAAAAAAAATATCAGAATTATCTACATGAAAAAATTATTAGGATTGAACTCTCAAAATGAATCTTACCCCAATTCGTAGGTATATTTGAGAAATATTTTGTGTGATTTCCTGAAAGAAAATTATAAAACTTCAAAATCTTGGCATCAAAAATAAATGGAAGTTACCTTTAAAATAAATTGCGGTATTTACCGCAAGCGGTAGCAACAAAAGCACAATTATTAGCATCTTATTTGTAAACTTGAATCGGTACTATAATTAACAAAGTTATAATTGCACTGGCCATTTTAAAGGAAGTTTTCATGACATCATTATGTGCCACTTCCATAAAAGATTGCGATAGCAACATCGAAATTCTGTGATTTACCACCTAAAAATTCCCCAGTCCAGATAAAAAAAATTATGTGGAGGCGTAAGTATGCAAAAAAAGCAAACGAGCAGATTAAATAAATAATTTTTTGTGTAGGTGCATATATTTTGCATTATTATTATTTAATGTAATGTAATTATAAAATTATAAAAATAAAATACTATAATGAGCCTAGGAGATTAGTTTTTGGTAAGTCGGTGGTTGGTTGGTTATAGGGGAGTACTAGGCGCTGTTGATTGTTGCTTTATTGTACACCCCAATTTACTCCATATCCTACAAGAGTTCTGTTCCAGCTATCAGGCCTAGTAGTTCTTGGACAAGATTTTCAGGCGGTAGTCTATCCCTGGTCTGTATTGCTCCGAAGAGTTTGTATCTTTTGTCTGCTATGTGCTTAGTAGTTCTTGCCTTGCAAACAATCTGCAAAATTGGTGTGTATTATCACAAATATAAGGCCTATTCGGGTTTGGAAAAAGTACGGTTCTAGAACGGTCCAGAAGAATCGCACAGTTTATTATTGAAACTTGTGATAGTCGAGTCGTTGTTATTTTGTTGATCAATAAACTGGACGATTGTTTTGAACCGTTCTAGAACCGTCCTTTTTCCAAACCCGAATAGGCCTATAGACGACTAGATAGACTTCCCAAGCCAAAGGTTCTGTGGATTAGAGAAATTATTTTCTAGATTTTGGTATGAGAATGTCATTATTCTCGAACGCAAAATCGTTGAAGAATGAGAAGTTTTTCAGGGACATTTAGTTCCCAAAAAATACCCATTGGTACCTTTAAAATTGTTAAACCTTCTAAAATGATAGAAATCCACCCAAGAATCGTAAGAATTCACCTATCAGTTGGTTGGTGAGTAACCGTCACCAACTGGTTAAACACTTTTCTTTTCAGGCAATTTTGTAAACTGGACTCGAGGATATGACTGAGCTGTTCAAATGGTGCAGCCCTGCAAGCCCTGTTCGTCTGGTTATTTCGCAAGTTTGATTATCTCTTACATAGTATAAATAAATAAAAAAACGCATTCATATGGACTTCGTTGAAATCTTCCTAAAATTACAGCAAATTAGCCAAATACATAATATGTCTGGTAAAATGCTTGATCTGATTTTTGCTGATGATTTTGAAAAGATTGTGGTGACCTGCAGCTCCGTCTCGCTTTTACCAATCGACCCTCATCAACTTTGCACCTTCAGTTCATCAATAAGCTAATCAGTCATAACTCCATCAATTTCGGCATGCAGACTACATCAGCCTAAATCAGTACCACTGATTGGAGTCATTTGTAACACAGAAAATTTCGAAAGTGTTATATGCCAGTTTTATGATATCCTGTATGATGCTATTTATCAATGTGCGTCTAAGAAAACCACAAAAACTGATAAATATCCAAATCGAAAATAGTTTAGCACCGACCTCTGAAGGTCCATTGCACTTTAAAATAAAGCTTACAAGAGATATATAAAAACCCGGACTCCAAGTGATTACAATGCCTACTCAAATATCCGACGAGAAGTTAAAGCAATTAATGATATGTGTTACTTACTTTATGTTACCAATACTGAGCACTTAAGTAATTCCTGAAAATATCAAGTACTTTTGGTCATTTATCAACAATATCAAAAGGGATTCAGGCTTTTCGGTCCAAATGCAACATAAGCCTGAAGATATTGCTGAGGCATCTCACTTCCAATCAGCATATACTAACGTACCTATTTTGGATTTGAGTTGGATGGATCCAGTGGGATTTGCTGGTATTCTCTCTTCCCACAATTTCACTACTGAAGAAATATGTAAAAAACTGAAGAAGCTCGATACGTCAAAGAGAACAGGTCCCGATGGTGCCCCACTGTCATTCTGGAAAATTGTGCAACTTCTCTTGCTTCATCACTTCGTCAACTTTTTCAATGCCCATTGGACAGCGGCTGTTTTCCAGGAGCTTGGAAACTTTTGTTTACCAATGTTCAAGTCGGTGGACAAGTGTGACATCGAGAACTATCGTGGTATTTCCAGCTTATCTGCTATTCCTTAACTCCTCGAATCTATTCTAACTGACGAGATATTCACGACTTACACCAGATACATTAACTCTGTCCAGCATGGCTTTTACCGAGAACATTCTACCACAACCAACCTTGCAGTCTACCAGAACTTTTTGGTCACCTCAGGGAAATCAAGTTGATTCTATTTATACCGACTTATCCAACGCCTTTGACGGCATTTACAATCAGCTCCTCCTCAAGAAATTGTCAGAAATTGGGTAAATTGGGATTTGGGAACTATCTCAGCGGGATCCAATCTTACTTTGGTAGCGAGTTGATGTCAGTGGCACACTATCCAGTAAAGTAATTGCTACCTCTGGATCTCACCTGGGACCTGTACTGTTTCTTCTCTTCATCAACGTCGTAACGTCCTGCTCCTCCTCTTCTCATGTCCAGTTGTACGCTGATTATTTGAAATTTTACAATCAGGTATCTGTGTACCACAATCGATTGCAAAATGAACTTGATAAGTTTGTATCTCAATAGCCTAAAGATTAATGTTCCAAAATGCAAATCCATCAGTTTCTATAAGTTTGAAAATCAAATTCTTCGTAACTACACCATAACCAATCAACTCCTCACTTCAGTCGACTCATTCAATGATTTGGGAGTGGTTTTTCAGAAAGACGTCAATTTCAATTTGCATGTTGAAGGGCCTTAGAATGCTGGATTTTACAAAAAGGAATTCCAAATATATAATGGATACCAAACCAGTATGCTGTCTGTATTACTCACTTCTCCGTAGCACACTAAAATGCTGCTCAACTATCTAGACCCCCAAATACACTATCCACAAAAGCAGACTAGAAAGGGTTCAAAATAAGTTCAGAAAGTACCTTCTATATAAGCACCATTTTCCTTCAGACGGACTAACCTATGAAACTAGGCTGATGCTTTGTGCACTAAAAAGTCTTGAACACAGAAGAAGAGAAGCTATGTTTATTTTGCTTTACAAGCTGTGCAATGGGATAATCGGTGATATTTTTAACTACTCTGTCACAAATCAGGAAGATGATAATGTTTATGTAATTTTTACTGTGTCTCCTATTCATTTTTCGTTTTATATACCTTTGTGTATCTGATTTTATCGGAATTTTTATGCGGTTTGATTTTAACTGAGATTACTTCTGTATGTTATCTGTATATCTATGTTTTTATTTTTGTGCAGTAATTTCTTTTGTTTTTTTAATTTTGATTACTTTCACTGTACTATCATTAAGAATATAATACTTATTCTATTCTGTAGTGTATGCTTGAGATAAATACGAATTTCATGTCCTAGATAGTTCTTTAAATCGTACCTATCTAATGAATCCTGAAATGTTCTTCTTACAGAAAGATTATTTAAACAAACAAAAAATAGTATTTTTAGTAAGGGAATCTTGTAGTTCAGCGTAAAGCACAATATAAACACACAGACAATATAATTTACATAAGTTTTATTTAATAAATAAAAAATATATAAAATAATATGTAATATCAACATGTCATAATGTTGCAAATATATACAGATTAAAAACTAAGTATATAACAAACTTATCAATCCCTGAACATATAAATATAGGTAATCAAATTAAACAAAAAAAAATAAATACTTTGTAAACATTCCAGTAGATTCATTTTTGGTGAGTCGTAGATTTGCGGCTGCTCCATTTTGGCATCTTACTAATTTGTCCACAGATTGGGGTAAGAATAATTATTCAAAAACTTAAATCGCCAGAGTTGAGAGCATCATTTTTCTCCGCGACTCCACTAAATATTTTTCTTCCAAGTTATGCCGCAGCTAAATTGACAGGATGACCTGAAATTATTAAACATCATTAGTTACGTTCTCAATTTTTTTTGTCAATTTGCCTATACCTTTTACATTGATAGAAACTACAAGGGCAAGTAAATGGTCGAGAATTGCTACAACGTTTGCGTCCAGAAGTCCTAAAAAAATAATTTAAAGATTTTGGAATTCATTTTGCCAAATAAATATTACCATTTTCTCCAGCAACTTCTGCATCGATAGTAGAATATAGAAGGCCTTCAAGAGTCGCCAGTAAGCTTAGATCAACAAGGGGCACTTTATCGCTTCTGAGTGAATTGCTCAAAAGTCCATCGCGCATTAATACATCTTGATCTATGGGATGCGTTTTGAGAATATTGCCAAGAAGACTAGTTACTAGGCAGAGGATATTGCCCAAAAGGCAACTTAAACTGCTCGAGTCTACGTTTAGGTCCAAATCAACTAACTCTCCTAAAATTGAATTCAAATTAGAACTTTTCAATGAAACTTAGGTAAATATTTACCTCCACTAACATCTTTGCGAGCTAGCATCATTCTTGGGTCGATAGGTTGTCCTAAACCAATTATGGAATAATTATTATTTTCTTAAAGTTATTTTACTTACCTTTCTTAAGAATACTGCCAAGAAGACTACTAAGTAAGCAAAGAATGTCGCTCAAAAGACCATTCAAGTCTACTCCAAGGTTCAAATCCACTAATTTCCCTTAAAAAATATTCAAATTGTAGAACCTAAATCAATATATTTTGGGTAAATCTTACCATCAGTGCCATCATTGCGAGCTAACAGCATTGCTGGATCAATAGGGTGTCCTAAACCAATAATAATTGGATTTACTTTATTCTCATTTTTTCAAAGTTGTTTCACTTACCTTTTTTTAGAATACTACCAAGAACACCACCAAGTAGGCAAATAATATTGCTCAAAAGACCACTTAAGTCTACTACAAGGTCCAAATCCACTAACAAATTGTCATTTTTTTCGTCAACTGGACCAGCCGAATCGCAAGTTTCTCCTTCTACAACTGCACCATCAGAATCACAAACTTCATCCGGAGTCGTTTGGTCGAGTACGTT